TCACCATCTGAATCCTCCGCATGGGGCTGCGAGTTTAAGTTCACATTTCTAACCTTTGGCTTGGCCCTTAGTGCCTTTGTTTTTAAACGGCTTAAGGGAAAGGGAATTAACTTAGCCTCAGGCTGATTCTCCATTTGAATAGACTTAACAGCTCCTTGAATGCCTTTTAAAAGGTCCTCAGGGGGCCACGCACTCTGGCCCATATATTTAAAAAGACAAACTTCTAGAGCYGTCCATGTTTTCTGTATATTTTCTATGCCTCCAGGTAGTTTATTAGAAAGACAAACTCTCTGTAACTTTCTTCCTAATTTCTCCCAAGTAAGTAAATTTGGAGACTCTTGGTCACAAAACCAAGGACAATATTCACCTACWATCTTTAAAAATTGTAATAACTGAGTTTTCTTTATCTGTTTTCCATTCTGATTAATTATACTGTCTAAAATAGTCAGGTACATTTCCTTATCCGTAGAAGTTGAATTTCCCATTTTAATTAATTTAACGTCTCTTTCCTTTAATAACTCCAGGTACTTTTGTGACTCAAATGTCACCTCTTCCTTTATCTTTATTCTTTTCCTTATCTTTATAGCGCACTCCCACTCAATCTAACTAATCTAAAATGCCCCCCTCTTGGGCACCAATTCTACCACGCGGCCTGCTCAATGGTTTCATTAATGAGGTTCTAGGCATAAAGTTAGTTAGAAGAGATCGAAATAAAATACACAGACTCAGTTACTTTATTTCTATTGCTAGGTCCGAGACGGCTCCCCTCTCTGGTTCGCTCCTCTAACCGCCCAGCAGGGCAGCAAGGATTACTCAGGGCTAGCAGGAGAGAGAGAGTGAACACGCCTGGGACTAGCCTTTTATTGGGGAACAAGAGATTCAGGGGAGTATTCCATCCAATGAAGGTTGGGGGGGGCTGCACTCCAAGGTCAGGGTCAGTGATTGGGTCCCCGGGTCAGTGGTCAGGCACACCCCCACACAGATGGGCTCTCTCATCAGGAAAGGGCCGGGAAAACTTCAACAGAGCCAAAGTGCCTCAGACCCTTAACGGGAGTCACCCAATCACGTGTTAAAATGGCTTCCCACATTTTTCCAAAGAAGAAATAAAAATGACCAACAAATGTGTGAAAAAAATATGCAACATTTTTAAAAATCAGGGAAATGCAAATCAAAACTACATGTAGATTTCACCTGATTCAACTTAGAATTGCAATCATCAAGAATACAAATAATAAATGCTGGTGAGGATGAGGGGATAAGGTACATACAATGTTGGTGGGACTGCATACAACCATATATGTGTGTGTGTGTGTGTGTGTGTRTAYAYRTGTRTRTRTRTGTGTKTKTGTGTGTGTGTGTGTGTGTGTGTGTGTGTGTGTACACACACACAGTCATCATCCACATGGTGTTGATTCTGCAGGAATGCAGGATGTTGGAGTTACAGGGTCATGGAGGCTTCCACTGAGATTCCAAAGGAAGGCCTGGGGGCTAAATAAAGGGTAGCAGGGTTGGAATTCCTTCAGGGTGCCCCTGAGAGTGCAATGCTTGAAGCTATGAAGGTGAAGCTAAAGCTGGAATGGAGACCTCAGGAATTAAGAGATGCCAGTAACATGGACTGTCAAGGTGTGCACTGCAACCAACAAGGCCAAAGTGGTGGGGCTCCCCAAGGCCCTTGAAAAGAACATTTTGCTGCATTGTGCCCCAGATACTGAACACGGAGTTACAGACCTGTTTGCCCAGCTGAGTTTTGGTCCATTCCCTCCTTTTTATGTTCCTATTCCTTCCTTTTGGAATGGGACTCTCTATATTCTGTGCTATTGTATATTGGATACATGTAACTTGCTTTTGATTTGTATATGGGTTCACAAATCAGAGTTTGCCTTGAGTCTCAAAGGAGACTTTGAACTTGGACTTTGGGGCAATGCTGAAACTGTTAATACCATGGGGACCCTTGGAAATGAACTAAATGCAGTTTTCATTGTGAGATGGACATGAGCTTTTGGGGGCCAAAGGAAGAATGCTATGGTTTATATATGAGGTATCCCCAAAAGCTCCTGTGTTAATGCAGGAATCTTCAAAAGTGAAATGATTAGGTTGGTAGTTGTAACCTAATCAGGACAAATCCTAGTTTGATGAAATAATTAAGTGTTAACTGTAGAGAGACAAGAGTATGGCTGAAACAGGTAGGTCACTGGGGTTTGCCCTGGAAGAGTTTATCTGTCCTGCAGCTCCTCCCTACCCCACTTCCTGGCTTCCATGAACAGAGTGGGGCTCCCCAACTATGCCCTTCCCCCATGATGTTTTGCCTCACCTTGGGCCCAGAACAATGGAATTAGTAGTTTATGGACTAAACCTCTGAAACTAAGAGTCCATACTAAACTCTTCCTCCCCTATTTTGTTCTTCTCAGGTATTTGTTCACAGCAATGGAAAGCTGACTAACACACATAGCTAGATCTAAAACAAAACAGAACAACAACAACAACAACAAAAAAAAACTAAGGTAGAAATTAGGCATAGTACTTTAAAAAATTTGCAGTTGAAGTTTTCTTACTGTCTCTTTTCATGGGAATTGTCATCCTCAAAGCAGATATCTATTTTTTTCCCCTGGGAATGTCAGTGTTCGTCACTTTTGCTTATGTTAGCCTGTGTTCACCTGCAGTCAAAATAACTAGTGCATGACTTGACAAGATTTTCCTCATCCATGGCAAGTTTCCTGGCTTGTGGCTGTATCCTGAAATACTTGACCAAGATGTCTTTTCATGAATGTTTCTGGCCAGACTGATCTGTTTGCTACTTTTGTTTTTTCACTTTGCCTTAGTTGCTGTGGCTTCAATATGGCCAACCCACTTGAAATGTACTACCTTACACTTTCAAAACACTTTGTTCAGAAAAAAAGTGACTAACAGGGAATCCCAGGATATTGGATTAGTAATAAGTGCCTGGTCTAAAGTAGGCATTAAATTAAAAAAAAAAAAAAAAAAAAGATAGATGAATGGACCCTAGCCCCAGCTGTCAGTATTAATCTAAGAAAATTTTAGCAAGTCACTTCCATCATTTCTGAATATATAAGAAGTATCTTAGTCCACCAACTTCAAGTTTCTTTAAGGGGCATTTCACTAAAGCACTGATTATCACTCTCTCTGGGCAACTAAGTCACCCAGGAGAGTGCCTTCAACTAGGGATGCCAAGAATTCACCGTTAGAGATGAGGTTTAAATTTGTCCAGGGATAGGACCCATGAACCTGCATATTTTGAAAGTTCCTTGGTTAATTCTAAGCAAGTTGATTGCATCAAGTTTGAGAACTGTCCAGAGGAAATCGTTTTCTTCCCTGTGAGAGAAAAGATCAATCCACCTGTCTAGGTAGCCAAAAGTGTGAACTGGTCCAAGGTTTCTCCACTGTGCAGCACTAAGGGGTTTAAGTAGTGACCTGTTTTCCTTTGGATTGGCCTATCTAAAGTGGTATGTTCCAATCAGCCTTGGGAATATGATCTATGGGTTAGCTCAGTCTGTGCAGAAACATGTGAGTTTGGTTACATTCAGTTTAAGAGGAAGAATATGAGCTCAATTCTGATTTGATAAGTGGATACCTTGATCCCTACCTCAATGTTAATTTCTTATCTGATTTCAGATTCAGGGAGTGAGGGGAAAAAGAGAGAAGTCTTTGATTAAGCACACCAACAAATTTCACCAAATCTGTTCCTACCTCAGTGTCACAGGATTAAATAATGTAAATTATTAAATATGCTTCATAAATGTAGATAACTACCCAGACGTTTACTCTTATCTGAAGCCCCCCATCAGATCTAAAACTGATTACACCGAGGAGATACACTGCTGACAACATCATTTCAATGCTGGCAGACCAGTTATAGTGCAATACTAATACTGTTTCTGATTTCCAGTCAGGGCATATTAAATAAAAGCAGCAGCATTCTATAGTGCAAAGTATTGAAGTAGAAGTCCAGAAGCTTGGATTGAGACTTGGCCACATCTCTCAACTAATTTCAGACTTCTAAGTCTTCTAGCTCTGATCCGGGAAATGCTGATGTATTGCTCATGAAACTAGAAGCAAGTGGTAGGATGGATGGATACATCCAAGTCAAACACACTTTCTGAAAAGTGTTGATTTCTATTTGGTATCTAGAAAGTTATATTAAGTCATTAAAGAATAAAATTTCCTTCTAATATTAGTTCTAAGAACTGGGTGGGTTAGATAATAGCTTTATGCTCAGGAAAGCTAAGAGATCAGAGTTCATTCTGTGTTTATTCTCATCTCTCCAATTTCTGGATCGTTTTTTGCCAAGAAGCCTTCCTATACCCTAACCAGGGACGGGCTGAGCTTTCTTCATCTCATCAAATTTGAAATATATTTGGTAAAGAATGTGTACTTCCTATCCACTGTTTACCCCAACTCATAATCAACCACAATATTTTCCCATATTCTAGAAAAATGTCAAATATTCTAAGGTCACCATAATAATGGTACTAAAGAACCACCAATATGAATTGTTATAATATCATTGTTACTACTGTATTACTTTGTGTGCAGATTGTGTGATTTCGGACCAATGCAAGATGTAACTGACCCTAGTAAGCAAGATGATCTTGCCAATTTCTTATTCAAGCATATAATCCTATCTACTAAGATTGTGAAGGTAAACAGAACTCTAGTAGATAGGACCTGGTCTAATTCATCTTTTATCCCTTGCATGTAGAATAAAGAATAAGTGCTAACAGATGTTTAATTTATGAATTCATGTATTGAATAAATTCAAAAAACAGATAAGCAATGATATAACAATAGGCAAATATAAACATTATTAGGATTTTAGATTTTTTAAAACAGGTAAATGTTTGTTTGTTTTTTTTTTTTTAAATATTTCTTTATTTTTTAGTTATTGGCGGACACAACATCTTTGTTTGTATGTGGTGCTGAGGATCGAACCCAGACCGCACGCAGGCCAGGCGAGCTCGCTACCGCTTGAGCCACATCCCCAGCCCCGTAAATGTTTGTTAATTGTTACATTTTTAAAATACAGAACTGGATTCCAACAAAACAATTTAATAAAATAAGGCACAATGTTTAGTAAGGCAAAATTCATACAGAAGATCGAATACATACATTTTTTATGTGTCCTGGGGGGGAAGGGGTAGTAGGTAATAGAGTTGAAGTAGATTAGATATTCTTTTTAGAGCATTTACCATTATAAGGTTACATATAAATCTGATAAAGTAAACTATAGCTTACATTGAGAAAAAAACTTATCATATTGCTGAATTACACTTATTTTACCATTAAGCTTTCATTATCCATATATCTATAAAGATATTCCTAATTCACAAGATTTCAATTACAGAAAATTTAAAAATCAGATCAAAAATAGTAATTTGACCAAAGTAAAAGTCAATACATTTTAGTATCCTCCACTGATACTTGAAGGACCAAACTTTTTATTTATAAAAGTTAAAAATACTGATTATTCTATAATTTTGTCCCATTATGTTTTTGTTTCTCATAAATTATGAAGAGGGCTCAGAATGCAACAAACCTCAACACAAGTCTGCACGATTGTTGTAAAGTGACTTTGAAGGTTAATATTCTTCCTCAACACCACCTCAATGTTAACCATTTCAATTAGTGAAAGAACTCTCTTAATATAAATAGTAAGCAGAATCAACCAATTTAGTAATGTTTTTGCAATACCAGCAATAGCAGTTTGAAATACCAGCAATATCCCAGTTTCTTCCCTTAGATGGAATTCTGAATAAAAAAGATGTTAACCAATTTATTCACAGCTGAAGAAAGAAGTTCTGGTAAATGCAGATGGTCTTTCTGCCATGGCTTTCTGTATGACAGTATATAAATAACCTTCATTAAACTAATGGATTTTAATATATACTAGATTGAATACTGTCCTTTACATGAATTCTTGAGATTGACAAATGCTAGCTAAAAGTCTAGTAGCACCCAAATCAGTATTACCCTGTGAGTGTTCAATGATGTGTAATGGTTGTTAATGAATTGTTATTTTTTTACATTAATTCTTAGTAAATATGAACCAAAAAATAAAAAATAAAAAGCGAATGGAGGTATTTACATGCATAATATTAAAACATACCCCCTTTAAACCTATATAACAACAACAACAACAAAACAGTGGCAAAATATGCTAGGCCTCACAATAACAATATTTTTATATATTGCTATAAATATGAAGTTGGTTAGAAACCACTGTTACCCTTTGGTGGTACCAGATATATTTTTAAATTAAAATAATACGTAAGAAAATACACTTTTTCACTGATTTTATTTCAGACAACCCTGATGCTTATGGCTTTGACCTCTATAACAGTATACATGATTTCAGTTCCCTCCCCAGAAGCCCTAGAACTCATACCTGGGCATTATTTTAGGTCAAGAAATCTCTCAGGATCAGTCCTTATCTCTCAAGTGAAATACAAATAATCATGAAGCTGTCATAACTTATTAAATGATTAGTTTCCCAAACTTTGGGTCTAGAGTGGAGGATTTAAGGCACATGCTTTCTGACCATAAATCAAGACACTGCTACCTATAAAATTATGATGTTTATAATGAAAATACAAAACAGCATGCTACTAAATTCATTATTATTATATTGTGTTTAGTGCTTAGTACAGAGATATAATGAGGAATCAGAATTATGCATTACAGGGCACGTTGCCTAAAAACCTATACAGCAGCCTTTACCACAGGGTTAAACATTCCATACAACTTAAAATCTCACTATTTTGGACTAAATGGAGAGTGATATACAGATATACATGTATATGTATATTTTTATTTTATTTTTTTCAGGGCTGAAGACTGAACTCAGGGCCTAGCATGGGGAATGGTATTCATGACATAATCATATCTACTTTTAGATGAGAAAGAGCTCATTTAGGTTAAAATTAGGTATTTCTAACTAAATGCTGCTAAACTAATTCTATATACATACTCTAACTAATATAGTTTTGTCTACAGGGGTTATATGAGGTTTAGAAATAATAACCATTGTTTAAATACATAAATAGCTGCTGCTAAAATGCTTTAGAAGATCAAACTTTATTTGCACTATTTACTTAGTGTTGTTTTTGTTTTTGTTTTTTTAAAAACACATAGTGAAAAAGTAAATATCAACCAGGGCTACCTGCCGTACCACAAATTTCAGGCTAATGAGGTACTACCTTCTCTTTGTGAAGAGCAAGGTTGGCTGGAAGAAAATCCTATTACTTGCAGGCCCTCAGTTATGGCAGGATGTGAACAATCTCCCAAGTCCAAGACATTAAATAAATTTAGTAATAAAAGCTTTTAGATGGTAGTCGATAAGCTACTTAGTGACTTAATTTAAAAACAATTTACTATTACTCTAAAGAGCTTTCTTGGCTCAGAGATATTCCTGGGTGTCTGGTGACTTCTCTGTCCCTATACTTTGTTGCTTTTAAAGATTTCTTTACCACTCCAGCAATAAACTTGATATTTACAACGTCTGGTAAAATTGGTTATGCTGCACCATTATGAACTGCCTTTTACTCTTATTGACATAAACACAAAACTTTCTCACATTTGAGGTACAATTTACAATGCAAATCTTTAGAATTTTTTTAACTTAAAATTTTAGTATCAAGAATTTTAGGACAAGAGATTCCTTCGGCACACATTTAGAAATAAAATATGAACAGTCACCTCTAGATCTATCTCTACATATACAGGGAATATTGAGAATTCTGATCACAGGTCCTTATGTCAGTCAATCCCTGGCAACATGGAATCAATATCATATTAGTGAATCTTCCTATTTCCTAAAGTCCTATTCTGCCTCAGTTTGGTGAGGCTGATACACTGGATTCTAGGAATAAGTTGAGAATGTATAATGTACCCAATTCCAATTTTGAATATTAGCACTGAAGAATTCCACTCAACATATATTAATGTTCTGCTTAAGTAGTTTTGTTCACTAAAATCATCCAAGTGGAGCAATATCTAAACCTAATTTGATTATGAAAACTACTTTGTTGTTTTTTCACATCGTTTAAAAAAATCCTCAAATTCATTAACAGTAGTTAAACAGAAACATGGAACTTAGCAACTAACAAGTAAGACTACCATTTTAAATACAAAGTCTGCTACATGACTTGGGAGCTGTTTATATTGTTTTAGATGATCAACTCCCTGTATCTCATTTTCTGGTTAATTTCTATAATCACCAGTTATTTAAAAAGGAAAGGAAAAATAGTGAAAAAGAAGAAAATCTTAGAAACTATCAGCAGCTCTTATAAAGGCTAAGGTCAAAGATTTGGGAGAAAAAAAAAACAACAAAAGGAAAACTAATGCTAAAATGTAGATTTACTTAAAAGTTACCAAAGACAGTAGCACACCGATCATAGATTTTTCAACTGTACATGTAAAGAACCCTAACAAAGATTTTGTTGAAAGAACACTGGTATTCATCTCCATTATATGGCACAGGCTAGAAACTGTCTCTGGTTGGAGTAGTTTATATCTGTAAAAGATCAAGCAATATACCTTTATTCTAGGAAGCCTGGGAAGGTTAAATGCTATATTTACATGCTTATTTAATTCTTAGAAGATCAACTAAGCTGTTAACTTATGTCAAAGCTAATAGTCAATCAAGAAGTAAACAGAGGCATTTAAGCCAGAAAAATTTGGTCCTACCAATCTAAATCAGTTAGTTACAAAACATTTTAGGTTTGTCATTTAGGCACAGCCTAAGTCATTTTTACTTTTCATAATCTTGCTGTCTGCAGTTCGCTATGGCTCATTTTAGAAGTAAGCAAAGACTTTATATTTTATAATTATTCACATACTACTTCAATAGACAGTAGAAACATATTAAATCACTTCTATACACATAAAAAAATCAGAGTTAAAAAGAAAATAAGAATCTTACTACATTTTAACAGGGTAAAGGTAAAGGGATCTCTATAGCAGCGTTTCACAACTGCAGTCATGAAACTTTCATGACGTTTCATGAATAAACACACAAATAAACACACAAACCCTGAATTATCCTATACTATACTTTCTTCTAAAGTAAAAAATAATACATATGAAAAAAATCTAACATACATATATATATACAATAATCAGCTTTTAAGAAATGATGTGCCCAGTCATGAATGCTAAAGTCAGAAAAGAGATCAGGAGGCTCTAATGTAATCTGCCTGTGTATCACTGTATACTTAACATTTGCCAACTAGCCATCATTTTATCATAGATTGGTTAGCTAATTATGATGAAAGTGTTGTGTATTCTGTAATATCAATTTATAATATTAGTTTATAAGCACTTAGTTAATAAAAATTTGGTAATTTTTGAAACTATTTTTCTCCTATACTTCAAGGATACATTTTAAATGTATCATCAACTCCCTGTATCTCATATTCTGTTTTTCCCCCCCTCTATTCTATCAGTACTTTATTTTCAAAAAATTATTCCATGGATAACTAGTTTTGGTATTCTATTGTGTATGAACACGACTCCTGCTCCTAACTTTATTTGCYTTATTGCCATGTTTTTCTAGTTTTATTCATTTTTCTTTAAAATGCAGAGAAAGTTGCAGCTTTAGTACACTACACAAAGGAGTCACATTTGACTGTTAAAATTTCCCCCCTATTCATTCAAGATACAAAGAAGCTTTCTTGGCTTACATCTTTTCCAAGTTTTTATTAAAAGTATTATTCTGTCTGATAAGGAATAAACTGATCAAGATGGTAGCTTCCCATTAACTATAAAAAGTGATTTGCTTACAAGGGACCACTGCACACTGAAAAAAATTATAAATAATAAAAAAAAAAGTTAAGGTGGCCATGAGCTCAGCTGTTAGTTATACAGTTTCCACATAGTTCTGTTAAAGCATATTTTAAAGTATCTTGCATAGTACATTAGGTTATAGGCTGCTCTGGCATTATTTCTTGAGTAAGGTTCCATATTCTTGCTAGGATTAAGGCACTATAACAAGTCATTGCTGAACTATATAAAGTTAATAACAATCATACAAAACAAAGAAGAAGAAATGAAAAGTTATCCCATTTACAAGTTATACCCCTTACTTTACAGTTAGTTGGTCAGAAAAGTTTAGGTCCTATGTAACCATCTGTGTGTGAGCTTATATGAATAGGTCTGCAATCTACACAGACCGACAAAATAAGCAAAGAGCTAACCTTGTTTGTTGTATGGTGTTCAGCCTAAACCCAAGGATAACCTTGGTAATAATTATAGCTTTGATAATTTCTTACTTTTTTTCATCTCATCTGCCACAAGTTTCACTATTCATGGCCTTATTATACCACTGCTCTTCAAAATATACCATTCTGCTATGTGATTCAGGCAAAACTTGTGAAATTGCACAACAATCAGCCAAATTTGAATCTGCCATTCGGATTATATTCAAAGATTCCAAACATGGTATTGAACTTATTCCTGCTGAATGGGTAGATGAACATAAAATCTTTCACATCATCTCATGGACATTCAAGATGAAGATAGTAAGGTTTCTAGTCAACTTCTAGCTCTATTTTCTTTTCTAATCATCTTTGCTCATTTTTTTTTAAGTATTTCACAACATCCTGTATTTCTGTTCAGCCAAGAAGAACTTTCTGCATTCTGTGTGCAGCAACACTAGCTTCGTCTTCTGAGTCAGATTCACTCTGGGAAGTGGAGCTGTGAGAGGCAGAACTGCAGGGTGAAGAGCATTCTGGCGAACATAAGTAGTGCATCAGTGGGAGGCGATACTTCCCACAGAAATCCACAAATTTAATTTGTCTGACACAGCAGTCAAAGTAGACTCCTAGAGAAAAGGAATACACAGTAATCATTACAAAGCAAAGAGTCACAGTTTGATATTTTTTTCCCAGAATTCTGAAGAACTGTCACATACTTTTCTCTTTTATGAACTGGTGCTGAGGACTGAACCCAGTGCCTCACACATGCTAGGCAAGTACTGTACCACTGAGCTACAACCCCAGGCCTCTCTGATGAATCTTAAACAGAATTAGTAGTCACCTTTATAGCACTACATATAGAAATACTGAAGGGTCTTAGGGGTGGAAATTTGGCTGCAAGAGGCCAGGAAATTTATCTTCAGGAAGTGGGTCATTAAGGACTTAGCATCTTTTCTGTGAGTGACTTGGTGTCAGTGGCTGATGGAAATTACAGGATACCTTAAGTGCCCTTTTTCCATCCCCCAAGCCACCCCTTTGGCTTTGTCCCACAGGCAGAAGACTAAAGCAAAACAAAAGTCCCCTTTTATAATTCTCTTAAGAATTAGATATGCATAAAATATGCAGTAAGGAGATGGAGTTTGGTATTCCTGTTCTTACAATCTGAAAAAGTGAAAGAAAAGAAACAAAATACCATCTTATATTTACGTGGGCTCTAAATCTATAGGCTGCAAAGCTGATTCACTGATGATTTCACTTGATTCTCACACAATTACTAGCAGGCAGCTCTTTTGGTTCCTAATTTAGTGCTCCTGAACTATAGTTCTTCAATAGGCAGAAATGCAGCCAGTGCAGAAGGAAAAAGGTTTACATGCCTCTGGGTTTCAGTTGATCCTTAAAAAGATACTGCACATCTCTGACATACCAAGGCTGTCCAACATTTGCAGTAAAACCGGAATATCTAGAAATTTGGGTTCACTGCCTTTCTGGAGAGGAATTTCAACTTTTACACTCTAACTTAAGTTTCCCAGCTACTGTGTGTTTTGATCAGAAGAGATCAAAATAAAAACATGTATCCAAGAAACAACAATGATTTCTAAATACCTTGCATAGGTTAGCAGAGTGGTATTTAGAAATGATTTAGAAAAATAGAAACATTCAATAACTGGTTAGTCAGTAAACTAATAATAAATCCCTAAAAATGTGTTTGCAATCCAACAATAATAGAATAAAATTAAGCATTATGGAGTTACTATAAGCTAAAACAATACAATACTTTGTTATTTGTCAGTCACATACAAAAGGAAAATCTCTCACAGAATATAAAAATATAAAATTATTTTAAATTCATAATTCAATAACAAATCTGAGGGGGGAAATATCTAATAGTTCACTTTACATATTATCTCAAATTTTAAAATGGTAATTTTTAAAGCATTCCTAAAATAAATAGCACTTCAGTGTACTAAAAAAGTTAACAGAAACCATTTAAGAGAGAAAAGAAGTTCATTTCCAGAAAAGGAAGATTCAAAGCAGACTAGATTTAGACCATGAGGCATGGAGGCCTTTTGTGAATTCTGTCCTGTTTCCTCAGCCATTGTAAAGCCAATTCATGAAAGAGAAGCCAGAGAGGTTTATGCACTTTTCATAAGACACAAAACTGCAACCTCTACTTCTAAGAGCGAATGGCCAGAAATGGCTTAACGTGTGGTCTGTCTTGTCTTTTATAAACCCAATGTATCTTTTTTTCTCTTTTCTTTTATAGCAATCTTTGAGTAACTTAATAATTTTCTCATTTTTTAAAATATTATAACAGTTTCAAGACAAGAGGAGACTTTCAGGGAAAATCTCACCTGATTTTTGACCATTTTTATGCAACATTTCTCCAGTACTTATATTTACACTACAAATATTTCTATGACCCTATTAAAAAGGATTTTTTAAAAAAGGAACTTTTATAAGGAAGCCAAAATAAAATGATCCACTATCAGTCACCAATTTCTACCCACACAGTCTGGCATTTCAGGTCTTTTTCAACCTGATCTTAATGAATCTTTTCATTCTTGTTTCTCATTACTGCCCTAACTGAACATGTGAGCCAACTGCCATTCATCTAACATTCTGCCCTATACTGTTCTGTCTCCACTTCACTTTCTCCATATGAAAATTTCCTATCCTCAATCTTACCCTATTAAAATCTAACTACTGTCAGGAATTATCTTCTCATTCCCAGATCTAATCAAATACACTCCCCCTCCTTTAATTCCTAGTGGCATTCTGAATTCTTTGAGATACCTTAGACTGCTCTGCATTTTATCATTTGTTTAATTCCCTCCAAATCCTCTATGAATTTGAAAGAATAAATTTTAAAGAATTAAAATTCATAATATAAAGTTCTATGGTACTATCTTGAAACTGACATGCATTTGGCCCATTCTCATATATCCTGAATCACACTCTTTTTAAAGTTATCTGATACAAAGAATGGTAAGCCTAAGAAAGTGTCCTTCAAATAACATAAATGATGTACAAACATTTTAGAAACACTTTTTAAACAATAAGGACTATTAACACTTCCTTTGTGTTTCCTTTCCTTTTATCATCTTACTTTTTATTATGATAATAAAGCCTCATAAGACTGAGACTGCCTGGGTATTTTACTTATGGTGAATCCAAAAATATTATGGAAAGAATTTAGAAAAGAAAGAGCTGGACATAGTAGCATATGCCTGTAGTCCCAGAGATTTGGGAGGGAGTACAAGTTCAAGGCCAGCCTAAACAAATTGGTGAGATCCTGTTTTAAAATAAAAAAATAAAAAGGACTAGGACTCAGTGGTAACATGCCCTGGGTTTAATGCCCAATACCAAAATAAGAAAAAGAAAAAAAGGGGGTGGGAGGAGAGAGAAAGAGAAAGAAAGAGAGAGAGAGAGAGAGAGAGAAATCCTCAGAAGGTGAAATGTCTTAACTTTAAAAGGATGAAAGAAAAAAAACTATCTTTCTCTGAAAAAAGTCTTAGCTAATTAAAACAACATTTAGATAAAATTTTAAAAATAGCTAAATGAGTAGGAAACAATAACACTGTAACTAACACTATTTTACTTACCTCCACACTTTGGGTTTGGGCAATTGCTGGCTAAACTTAAGTATCTAAGAAGATTCCCTGGAAGATCATAAGGAGTGTAGGAAATGTTCCGGATCTTAATGGTCCGTGCAGCTAATTCCAGGAGAGTTGGAGGGTCATATGTTAAATCTCTGACAAAACGAACAACCAATGGATTTCCTCGTAAACTCAATTCTTCCAAATGAATAAGGTTGAGGATCTCTCGAGGCAGGTAGGTCAGCAAGTTATTGTGGAGACTGAGGGAACGAAGTGAATGCAGCCTAGAATGAATGCAGTACAAAATCAATGGCAGTGGGTAACATAAGCTGAGTTTATATATGTGTGTGATTATATGTGCATGCATGTATATATGTATTTATGTATATAGAGCCTGACTTCCCGAAAAAAATGAGCAACTCAGGTTAATGGAAATAAAATTAAACGATGCTGAAACTAGATGGAGTACAGCCTTGTGAATGTCATAGTAGACTTTTGCCCCTGGAATCTTAGCTTAGAATACTTAAGAGTATTTTATGTGTAATATTATTTTTAAAGATTCCAATACCTAAAAAAGGAAAGATTTCAGATGCAATAAAAATGAAGATCCCCTACATTATAAAGCCTCATAAGAAGTGTAGGATAAGAATGTTTCATATAAAATATAAATTCACTAGAAATCCCATAAAACCTAGGGAAACCTATGTCAAATTAATATACTATTTTTTGACTACATAAAATAAGCTGAACAAATACTGTAAGGAATAAACTAGAGCATTTAAAAGTAAAAATAACCCAACTCACAGTAAATCCCAGAGCCATAATTATCATATCAGTTGCTTTGAGAATATTTAATCCTTATCTGTCTGTAAAACATGTGAATTAATGCAAGACAACAATTTCTATGAATGGATGTATGTGTATATACATAAATTGCTTGAAATTACTCACTGTGAAAGCTGAGGAGGCACACTTTGGATTTTGTTGTCACATAATACCAAGTAAGTCAGAGAAGGCAAATTTGCTAATTCTGGTGGGATTTCTTTGATGAAGTTTCCTCCAAGATATAAACACTCTAAACTGCAAAAGAAAATGAACAAAAACAAAAAAGTAAATAAATATAACTTAGACGAAGCACTCCATTGTCTCTACTACAATGAGCTCATTTGATCTGTTCAGCAAATGTTTTACTTAGGATTTGTTACATGCAACCCATACTCTAGAGAAATAATGCAAGCTTCAGGGAGCTTAGATCGTTAACTAAGGAGACATGACACACCAATGTTAGACAATAGTATTATCAAACACAAAACAGGTCCAAAAATAGGGATCACACAATTAAAATATCAAAATAAGGAGAACAACTCACAAATTAGAGAGAAGCTGAAAAGAGGAAGAATAAAATAAAACCACAATAGTACTAATTAGAAAAACTTCCCAAAAGTACTATAATGCAGGATGGCTATGAATTTAGTCCATTTAGATGGGAAGAAAGAGGAAGCTTCAAGGTGAAGAAGAGAACTTTTAAAGTTCAATGAGTATACTGTTTTAGGGAAGAGGAAAATTCTTGAGAAATCCACAGACAAGACTGATCCCATGATAGTATGCTTGGGTTAATGTAGTTGCTTAGCAAGCAAGAGGAAAACCATTAGCCTTTTTTTTTTTTTTTTAAGTAGAAAAATATATCTGAAGCCTCTATATTTCTTCTTTGCTCTTATTATAACAAGTACATTATCAGAGGCTGACTAAATTATATGTAAAGCTGACCATTACCATGAAGTTAAAGTTCAATATAATTATCCTATTTATTAGAAAATAAATTAATATTTTGAACATAGCATGTATTGCACCACAATACAATACTATTCTCTAATGACTATAGAAAGCCTGMAAAATCCAAAAGATTTTCTGCAGGAGGTGGCAGAATTAGTTCTTAAAATATATATGGAAATAAACAAACATATACACACATATACACATCTTTTCTATTACTGTTACTTTTGTCTTCTGTTAAATCTGCTAACTCAGAAGAACTAACATTCTTTCAAAATATCTTTAAAATGGGAGAAAATAGCCAGCTTAGCAGTTACTCAAACTTCTATGTTAAGAATTACCTGGAGGGGCTGGGATTGTGGCTCAGTGGTAGAGTGCTCGCCTAGCATGCATGAGGCACTGGGTTCGATCCTCAGCACCACATAAACGTAAAATAAAGATCCTGTGTCTACCTAAAACTAAAAAATAAATATTAAAAAAAAAAGAATTACTGGAATACTTTCAAAGCTACAAAATCCTGGCCCCATCCAGATGCACTGAATTTGAGTTCTAGGGGAGGGGCCTGAAAAAGGGTAGGTTTTAGAATATAAGGCATAATTTTAACAGATAAAGCCAACTTGCCCTCTAGAGCTATCGTTCTCTACATATCTACAATCAGCATCTGAGAGTACTCCTTACTTAACCCATTACTTTGCCAACACTTAGGATCATCACTGACTTTAATTTTTAAAACAGATATCTGACGGTGTGGAAAATGGCATCATTCTGTGCTTTTAATTTGCAGATCTGCCATTCCCTAATTATCAGTGAAGTTTAGTATCTTTTTTATGTTTTGGGCCAAATGTGATTCTTTGGAGAATTTCCTGTTCATCTCATTTTCCCATTTTTCTCATGGGTTAGATGACTTTCACTCATTAATTTGTTGGGAGCTTTGTTGTCAAATATATGTTCTATGCAACTTTGTTCCTTTATGGCCTATAGCATGGTCTATTTTTATTCTTGTTTTATATGTACTAAAAGAATGTGTGCCAATCTTATACACTGAGAAACTCAAACTTCTTTTAGTTTCTCTTACTACTTTGCCTTCTTACTGGTTTTCTCTCCTACCATAACTATGGTTTTTCTTCTTCAGAATTGTCAATTTTTGCTCTTTTCCTTCAATATAGAAGTTATATTGCAGATACATTCAAGTTCCTGCCTTCCAAAACTTCTGTTGAAGTTCTTTAATTCACATGAAACATTTCTCTTTGTTCCTTTAAATTCACTAGAAGTGGTTCGGGAGGAGCACTGTGGGGCAGGAATGGAAGCAGAGGTGTGACTGGAGTCTGATGCAGCAGTTTGGAGAAGCTACATTGCCTGGAATCTTTTTCTATCCTTTGAACTGACTGGTGAATCTGTATTTTAAATGTAATTCTTAAAAACAGGGTACGATTTGATTGTTCTATACGTTTTTTTCCCCTTCACTCTGCCCTTTGCTGTGGACATCATTTCCTTTGTTCACTGCTCCCTGCTGTTTCACCCTGCAGTAGGTGCTATTTCTATTTTAATACCCCCAATTTTGTTACCCCTTCAATTTCCTTTGCATGCTCTCATTCCTAAACACATCCTTGCGCCATTCTCTGATCTTCTCTTTGTATCATTTTCTAGACTTAGTTTTACCTTGATTTTCTACCGTTTTACTGATTTTTAAATAAATTTATTATGAATCAATATACAGATTTATCAACATCTTTTACCAATTTCTTTGTTCATCATTATTTTTGGTACATCTTTTAAAATTCAATTTTCCTTCGGAAGTTCCTTCAGCAAAGACTCATGGTTTAGTCTTTGAATATTCTGATTTATTTATTTTTGGTATCAGGAATTAAACCCAGGGACACTTAAAAACAAAGTTACATCCCAAGCCCTTTTTATTTTGAAATAGTGTCTCACTAAGTTGCTTAGGGCCTTGCTAAGTTGTTGAAGCTGGCTTTGAACTTGAGATCCTCCTGCCTCAGCCTCCTGAGCTTCTGGGATTACAGGCATGTGCCATTGCTCCTGACTCTAATGTCTTTATTCTGCCCTTCACTCTTGAGTAATAAGTTAGTTGGACATAAAATTCTAGGTTAGCAGTTACTTCTTAGCATTTGGAAGATACTGCTCCATTATCTAATTACAGTCAATATCACTACTGTTCCTTTGTAGGGGGTCCGCTTCACCCCTCCCTCAGTGCTCTGAGTATTTTTTCCACTGTCTTTTCCACTATCTTAAGTTTTATTATAAGGTGTCAAAATATCAGTTTAGAGAGTTAGCTTTATTTAATTGTGGGAAACTTCAGTCACTATTTCGACCCTCATTGTTTTTCATTCTTTTTTTCTTCCCCCTAGAATTGTTCTTGGTAGTATGAACTTCAGGATCTATCCTTCATCCTGTTTCGTTTAAGCCTTTCATTTTTTATCTTACTGTGCTGCATTTCAGAAGAATGCCTTAGCAAGCTCTTGGCTTTTGGACTCATTCTTTGGTGGAGTTCACGCCATGTAGCCCATTTAGTAAGTTCATACATAGTCAAGTCCCCTTTATCCTTGAGGAATATATTCCAAGACTCTCAGTGGATGCCTGAAACCAGGGATAGTACTGAACCCTATAATTTATTGCCTTTTCCTTCTTAACTGAGCACTTATAGTGCTCTGTGGTTTGATATTTGACACAAAACTACCACAAATTTTTTTCCTTCTTTATAACTGCACAGCTAGATTTGTTCTTACCACAGATTTTAGCAACTGAAGCATACAATGTTTTTCTCTTCTAAGTAAAGAACTTAAACCTTTTAATTTAAAGAAAGCACTTTATGGATTTTCTATAACATATTTGAATTTCCTGCATCATTATTCTTGTACTTTGTGGCCATTATTAAATAAGGGCCATTGAACATAAGCATGTGCTACTTAGATAATTGATCTGATATCCAAGGCAGTTACTATGTGCCTAAGAGGCAGGGTATAGAGTATATAAGTGTGACAAAGGGATAAGTCACATATAGGGTAGGACTCTACAAGATTTCATCATGCTACTCAGAATGCAGTACAATTTAAAACTGTTTATTTCTGGAATTTCCCGTTTAATGTTTTGACTACAGTTAACCAGGAAAGCAAAATCACAAATGGGGCAGGGGGGTATTATATATTTTTTTTCATTTCTAGGAACTGGAGCTTTTGTAATTGTCAGTTTTAAAACTTCGTCTTCTTTTGTTTCATTGATGAAGTTATTTTCCTTGATCTCTCTAAACTTAGAAAACTATTTTTAAATCCTTTACTGACAGCCTTATTAGATACTTTGTCAGGTATAATTTCTTCCATTCATTGAATTTCTTTTCTGTCTTTCATAATCTAAGCCTTCTGTGATGTGTGGAGATTCAGACAACCAACTTGAATCTGAAGTTTTTTTTTTTTTCTTAAATAAATGAATCATCCCCCGCCCTCAATTTCTGATAATGTAAAACTTTTCAAGACTATATTCCTCTCTAGACTCATAATACTAAGAAAAAGTAAGCAGACAAGTAATTTTGACATGCTACTTTTTTTTGTTTCAAAGATTACCTTGGGGGGCTAGGGATGTGGCTCAAGCAGTAGCACGTTCACCTGGCATGCGCGTGGGGCACTGGGTTCGATCCTCAGCACCACATAAAATAAATAAATAAATGATGTTGTGTCCACCGAAAACTAAAAATAATATTAAAAAAAAAAAGATTACCTTGTAGCAAAAATCAACTATCTGGTTACAAGACTGGATTTTACCTCATATAAGTCCTAAATACTGGTGTTGGGGGGGAGGATCTTGGGCAGAGTATTTTGATCCTGTCCCATATGGTATAAGTTAATATTCAAATACTCAGAAATCCCTGTTTTTCAATGAGGAGAACTACTTAAGTAGAATAGAATAATTGGAATTCAAATAAATGAAACTACCCTGGAAAATAAATTATTTTAATGAGAGGACTACTGGGGGAAAAGTTTGGCAAACTTGATCTAGTAGGGGGAAAAAAGTGAAGAAAGAGAAGAGTGAGTCCGAGAGCAAGTACAAACACTGTCCTATTTGCTTAGCTTAGTGTTATGTACAGAATGCCTGCATCCTCTCATAATCCACAATGAAACAAACCCTAACCCTTAATGCAATGTTATTTGAAAGTGATGTTTTTCTGGAGGTAATTAGAATTAGATGAAGTCATTAAGGTACAGCCCTCATGAACTGGACTAATGCCCATATAAGAGTCCTTAGAGAACATGCTTCCTTTCTCTGTCCTATGAAGACACAGCAAGAAATCTGACATT